CAAAGCCATGGTGATGGCTTTGAAGCTGATTCATATTTACAGTCTATGTTACATACATATAAAGTGAGTTTTTATAACAGTTTTTCTGTGCAGTAAACGTCTGAACTTTTCATTCAGTCTTTTGAATTGAATGAAAAGTTGTTCAGATGCCAGACGACTGAAGCAGAAAGGGATTTTTACACACTGGTCACCCCACTGAAGAGGTGTTTTCCTCCTTTTCTCAATAAAACCAATAAAGTTGTGTCAAACAAGCACATACATGGTGTAACTGTGTGTAATTTTCTTTTTTTTTTGCTCAACCTGTGACATGTCCCGACCTGAGCCCTGTGTTTTTTAGTAATGACAGAGTGTATGTGTGTGTGTGTGTGTGTGTGTGTGCGTGTGTGTGTGTGTGTGTGTGTGTGTGTGCGTACGTGTGTTTTGATGCAAAGTCTGATTGATGAGTTTACAGTCGAGTGACATTATCTGGATCTATGTATGACAGTTCTGCATACCCAGTGTGAAAATCCTGTTAGAAATGACAGTGAATGGAGCGCTTGTGTTGTGTTTATTCAGTAAAAGTGGAGAGAATTACACACATCTTATGCAACAATTACCATCCACTGACTTTATATAACAATGTTCTCGTGTGATGCTAACACAGGAATGTGCTGCAGCTTTTGAATGTTGAAAAGACTCTTCGTCTTAACTGGATTTGATGTCTTGAGCCTGACATTTGCAGAGTAATAATATAAATTATATAATGCAGTCTTATATGGCTGCTGGAAAGTGAACATCAGGATCTGATTTGTCCTGCTGTTGGATTTAAAAGGATTTAACAATCAAAGACAAAGACTCAAAAGATATAGACCAAATTATATCATGCACCAAAGTGGATTACTTCCCTTATGAAGGATTAGTGTAAAGAAAAGTTAGCTGGTAATCCATGAAAAGACAGATTCAGACATTATTGAAGGCTGGTTGAGGATTTGTTTAAAAATACACTTAAATGATTTGTTTGGGTAACTTGCATGTGATCAAGCTGCATTAGCAAGAAGAATATATCATTTTGGTTTGATTTTGTCATGAAACGACATACACAGAACGTATGCAGCAGTGCATCATCAACAAGGGGAAACACAAAGACACGGGTACAATCCACTGACAAATAAGGTTACCATGTCAGAATAGCAGCATTGAGAGTTTGAATATTTGTGTCCTGTAATCTTCACTGCAGTGCCCAGCTGCAGGCCAGACTTTAAGGTTTTTACCATCTCATTGACTTCCCCTGCTGGTTTCTGAAGATGTGTTTTGAAACCTATTCATGGCAGTCACCATATTAGAAATACTATCTCTACCTAACTTTCATTCTATCTAGCAACATGCAAAGTGGCCGAGCTGAGGCAGGTCTTCAGCCTCCTGCAAAATTACAATGTGCTCGCCTGTCAGTAAACACACACCGCTAATTATGCAAATATAGCATATCTATTATTATCAGAAAGCATGAGTTCTAGACTCCAAGAACAGCTGTTCTTTTGCACTTCCACATTGGCTTCATTTTTCAACACCATGTTCTTTGGTTTATACGTGCAGATTTAGTTTTTTGACATAATATTAGGGTCGTAGAATTACTCAAGTTCATGCAAGTTCAAAATGTTCAAAATCACCTTCCCTGATCGCTGTTCTATTTCATTTCATGTGCTTTTTTAAAATGTGTGTTTTTCACCTGCACATCCATAAGGTAATATTGCAAATGAATGCTGTGGTGGAATTTCTGTATAAGTTAAATGTACAGACATCATTTTGTTTATTCACTGTTCCTAACAGAGTCAGAGTTGATACAGTGAGCTGTGACTACACCAACAAGGACAGCTGAATGTGTCAAGGGTCCATCCCCATATCTGCAGTGTTGTTCAACATTCTAGTTTAGTTGGGGTAATATGACCCTGACATTAGTAACGTCTTTTGGATATACAGTATGTAGAGCCTTTGGGAGAGTCTGGCAGAATTGACTTAGCAAGACAAAGTATCACACTCTGTTCTGTTAGTTAATTCTCCTCTGGGGTCTTTAATTTAAGCCATCTGAGTCTCCCTGAATCGTTTCTTGTGTGAAGTCAAGTTCTTGCTAATTTCTCAACAAACGCACCCACACATTCATCCAAAAGGACTATATGCCTGATCCAATAATACCCTTGCTGATCTACAGGTTCACACACCTGTTAATAGTCTGCTGCCTGACTGTTTATGTCTTGTCCTAAAAAATGTCCTGCTGCTAAACACTGAAGTAAACAAGGTTTGAGGGTTTTAAAAAGTGCAGCACTATAAAAAATCTTTTTCCCCTTTATGACTTCTTTACCCTAAAAAATATCAAAATCCAAACCACACCAGGGAGTAAGGTTCAGACTTCATGATGACAACATAAAAACATGTGCAAACGTGTGAGTCTGTGTCTGTGTCTGTGTCTGTGTGTGTGTCTGTGTGTGTCTGTGTGTGTGTGTGTGTCTGTGTGTGTGTGTGTGTGTGTGTGTGTGTGTGTGTGTGTGTGTGTGTGTGTGTGTGTGTGTGTGTGTGTGTGTGTGTGTGTGTGTGTGTGTGTGTGTCTGTGTGTGTGTGTGTGTGTGTGTGTGTGTGTGTGTGTGTGTCTGTGTGTGTGTGTGTGTGTGTGTGTGTGTGTGTGTCTGTGTCTGTGTGTGTGTCTGTGTGTGTGTGCGTGTGCCAGTCCTTGATAGTGACCTGTTTGTGTCCCAACAGGCACTAAACTAAATACATACAGCAACACATCTAACACACCTTTATGTTATCTGGAAAAAACTGGGGAGTTCCTTGTGACTAAGAAAAAAGACTCAGTCACAATCATCAAATCAGTAACTGAATCCTTGGCCAGCTGTGTCTGTGACGCATCCTTTGAGCCCAACACAAACATGTGGGTTTACACTGTCATCTCTGTGGGCTGTGGTTTTTTTATGGTCAGCAGTGATGAAACATGTTTGAAACACTTCTGCAGTGGGTGGGTGTTACGCCCCACCACAAGGCCTCCCCATGGGGATAACAACAACAAACCCACACTTGTGTAGACGGGTTTCAATATGACAGAAAAATAGCTAGGACTACATCAACAAGACAACACATACTCCCTGACTGAGAGCCACAGCAGTCTGAACTCCAAGAGTCTCTCTTCTCCTGGACTCAGCACTGGACTTTTAAACACAGAGGCTAGGTGATCAGTAGCTTCACCTGGGCAGAGGTGGAGACAACAGAAGGGGAGAAAGGGACAAACAGCATGGGGAAACATACAGCTGTAACAGTGGGCTGCACTTTTATGGTGGAAGACAAAATGATCTGCTTGTATTTTATTCTCTATTCCTGAATCACAAATGCTAAACCTCCCATAAAATCTCCTTTTACGAGTACAATTCTAATTATTACTTGAGAAAACGTTTATTCAATTTAGCTTCAAAAGGGCTTGAAATTTGAGAAGTTAGTATATTTAGTAGCCCTGCTGCAATTTCCATGTCATTGTATAATATAGATTGTATGGTTCTGATCTTTGAAGGCAATCCTTTGTTTTTAATGGACTCCGACGCTCCATCAGTGAGCGACTAGTGATGCCTTAGTGCTCTACTGAACAACTCAGGAGGTCCTTTGTTTGTTCCAGCAGCAGTAAGATATTTTACTGAACATTTGTAGTTGTGTCTCTGACTCATGGCTGTAAAGTCTCAACTGGTTTTAATGGTGTTTGTTATTTTCTGTGTGTTTGTACCATCAATAATGTTTGTTGTGTGTATTAATTGGCCTGGTGGGAAATTGAGTTTTCCTGCTAAAGTTTTCTAATACAATCTAATTATCTAAAGGAATTATAAGTGATGGAGGTTAAATTTGAGCTTCAGCCTGTGAATGTTTTTTTTTATGGATCCAGAAGTGATCATATCTGGAGAAGCCATCATGTCACTCAAAGCCCTATAAGAAATACCCTGCTTCATCATCTGGTTTTCTGTTTATGAGAGCACATTTTTATAAACATAAATATGTGCAGTGGACATTTAACTGGCAATGGAGGAAAATGTTTACTGAGGTGAAAAATCACATTAGAAGTCAGATTTTTTAAAGCAGACTTAAAAGTACATCCACACTAATCTTTGCTAAAAGTGGAGTCGCCCCCTGCTGGCTCCTCAGAAGAATGCAGTTTTAAGCCACCTCATACCAACAGGCTATGTCCGCTTCTCTTTAACTGTACAGTATATGCACCAGACATTACTCTATGTGATGGTTCAACCCACAGTATTCATTCATTACAGGCCTCATGTCTAAGATTCAGAAACCAAATACTGAACAGAGTTTTACATAAATACATTGGAGTAGAAAGTACAATATTTTCTTGAGAAATACAAACTTTAGGTACAATTTACAAGTTCCTTTTTTCATGTCATGAAGCATGTCGTGCAGTTTGGTTACGTATGGAGATACTGCTGAAAATACTTGTGATCTTTTACCACTGACCAAAGATGGGGAACCTTTATTCACCAAGGAGGCTCACTTATAGTTTTCTCACTACCAGAGGGCCAAATTGTAGGAATTGCTCAAGACAACTATAACTACTTGTGATTAAACCAAAGTGACAACTAGCTCAGATTTCCGCTTGTCCATACATGAGTTAGAAATGTTATAACATGGTGGAAAGAGTTGCAAAGCTACTTTCCACCAACAAGTTTCCAAGTCTTCCCTGACTCTGTTCTCTAAGGATTAGGGGAAAAAAAACCTGAATCCACAATGCAGGTCACACATTCTGGACTACGCCCACACCTGCAGGGTGCAGTGTTTGTATCACAGCCAGGAAATGAGCACTGCACCATCAGGACCTTGTTACTACGTCCTTATCGTTACAAGACAATAAAAACTGTTGATAAGACATTTATGAGTACTACAATGGTTACTTATACTCAGGCTTACATTTAACACATCTCACTTTGAGCATGTATGAAAAAAGATGAAGTTAAACATAATTCATGGTTTCAGAGGAAGGATTAAGACACATTTTTTTCTTTTATTTGACAAAACAGGACATGGTTTAAAACTGGCACATGACCAAATATGAACAAAAAGTTGGCAGAGTTTGCTCTTCTGGCCTCGACACATTAGTATTATCACTTACGGCTACATTTAACATCATCAGGACCACCTGTAAACTAAGATGTTCACGTGAAATGAATGGAAGGCCAATAAATTAAGGGACAGACTGTGCATGAAAAGCTGTTACTGATTGTCCTTCCCGATGCTTTAACTGTGTATAATCAGGGGGTTACTGCACAACACAAGGGGCGATTTGTATGGTTTGTATATGATGAACATCAAGGCAACTTGGATTACACTGCAGAGATCACAATAAGGCACCGTCTCACCTCTACCGATGAGCAGTTACTTCAAGAAAAATAACAAAATCCGTGACTGCCTTTCTGCATTTGACTGTTTGTAACACTTAGACCATCGTTATATGAGAGTAAGTAGGTGTAATGACATTGAGTTTATAATGTGATTGCTCAGGAGATCATTAAAGACACAGCAGTTTCAGAGACCACAAATAAAAATAAAAAAAACATGTTGTGCATCTCCCAATTTACCACAATGACTTCAAGCTCAAGTTTCACAGTAACAACAGAGAAGTTATAAATGAAAAGCCCTTCACTTCACACCACAGGTCCCATACATGAATGCTGAGTTCTACAGTAGGTAGGAGTTCTTCACTGCACACTGGCATGCTTGGCAATGTCTGAGATAAACTGGAATACTATGCCCCCTAGTGGTTGCTTCACAAACTGTTCCACTATGACATTCATTGACAACATGGTTTATGTGCCTCTAGACAAATGTGCAGTGTTTTTAAAAAAAACGTATTAATAAGTGTGTAACAAATTAAATGTAGTGGTGCCATGGGATGTTTTTAAGAACTTGTAAATAAAAGGGTGTACATTTTCATTTTCTAATAAGACAGTAAAGCCACACTATTAATATTCCTTCTGAGGTAAAAGAAGTTTGATTGAGATTTCAACACCTTTCATCAAGCTACTCCTGTTTACCAATCACCAGAGGCATATATGCAGGCTCTTAATTGAAACGCATAAACAAAAATGTCATACCTTATTCTGCAGGAGAATAATCTACAACAATTAAAAACTCTGTGTAATTCTTTACACATAAACAATCTTTTAGGCTACATTTTTTTTACCAGTATGTTGGTTGGAGCATTTGTTGTTTTGGCATTAAAGGAACTTAAACTTTAAAAATAAAGCAAGTTATTTGTTATGGACACTGAAGTGGGCGATATTGATACTTTTGCCGTCTTTGTTCCTCAATCTCTGAAAGAGGATACAAGAGGTAAATCTCCATGTTTTAAAAATGTTTCAAGGCACAACCAACAAGTGTCACCTCTGGTCTAGAAAAATTATGCCAATGAAGATGTGTAATAAAACTGCAGCTCTCTGAGTGTCCACTAGAGGCTGGCCTCAAAAGCTCAGGAAGCCCTGTTAACAACAATTTTTTAAATGTTCACAGAATATTTCATTAAATGAATTATGTATCAATCTCTTCTCTCTTTATTGGGGATGATTTTTCTGTATTACTCGTCTGTTTTTGGTTTGGCATTGATTTATGGTTGAAAGCAGGACCTCTGTTTAACATTAATCTGCAAACATTTTAGAAAGACTGATTAATTTAAAGTGATTTGCACACTGTAAACACCTGTGGGTTGGATCTAGAGACTATAGACTATATTTTGTTGTTGTTATTAAGACAATATCAAATATTATTGTCCTAGCTCCGTATGTGTCATTCAATGCAAAGCAAACTGTATGCATTTAATGTAATTAGTAGGGTATTCAATGAAACTAAGAGTTAATGACCTGTAGATTATGGTCCTGCAGAATCAGGATTTAAGAGCTTTATTTATATGACTAATGAATAATTTACTCAGTAAATTGTTAATTACAAATTAGTGTACCAATGAGATTTAAAGTAACAAAGCAGGGAACTAACAGCGTGCAACTGGCTTTGTCTGTGCAATGATCCAGGCATATTCTAGTCTTTGTTCAAAGAATACCAGACCAAGGGAAGGAATATATGTGAATATGAACAATTACAAATAAGAAATCTATTGGAAACAGGTAGTGTCTTTAAGCTTGCTGTGTAAACTGGGTTTAAACCATTAACAGTTTAACTCAAACTACTATCAAAACGGGCTGTACACAATGATCTTCTCACCAAAAATGGCTTGAGATGGGCAAGTTGAGCTGATGCATTTGTGCCTATTTATGTCTGAACCACCGGATGTTTGTCTAAACCCAACATCTTTTAAAACATGACACACCCTGAAGGAGGTGCATTGTAATTCTGATACAACCAAACACTCGCCCCCTGTGGGTTTGAGTACTAAAGTGTCTGCAGTATCATTCAAAGACTGTGTGTCCGGTGTCATTGTGTTTCTCTGTCCACAGAAACTTGAGATGTAGAAAGTGGGTCAACTTGCTCTGTGTTTCTGGGACAATTTCAATCCTAAATACAATTACAATTCAAAGTAATGATGCCGTGTAGCAAAATCCTAAGCATTGCATCCCTGTCTTGATTATAAAAAGTTCAAAGATTAACAAGTCCCACACAAACATGACTAATTCAATTCCCAGAGCAAGTTTTGCAAAGAACAAAAATTAATTCCAGTTTTGGCGCGTTTTCAAGTAAAAAATGAAGCCTCTGGCAAAGCAAATGAAGATGTATGAGCTGCACAGTATCACGTTCACTTTCTAGCTGGAGGCTACACTCCCACATGTAGTGAGCACATCAAAAAACTACACGATCCTCCCTCAAAAGGGATTAGACAACACTGTGTTGTACAGTAAGTAGAGCTCCCTCAGCTACATGTAAAACTACACATAAGCAAACGTCTTGGTTGAGATAGAGAGATTTAAAGATCTATTTCAAAATCTTTTGGCTTCAAATATCTGCAGACTCAAAAGTACAACAGTAATTATGTTAATGTGAATTCTGATTCTTGATGACATTGTTTTCCCTTTCTCTAAAATCACAATCAAGATCACATCCATAACCCCTCAGCGTTTCCCACTGCAGTGGACCACACCTCATACTTGCATTAAAAATCAATGAGCATTAAAATTATTACACGTCAAAAAAGCTACTCTAATAAATTATGATTAAAGACAAGGATCTTCCATTTCTTAAAACTGGACCCAGTGCTATACTGTACTTAGTAAATCCCCATAGTGCAGAACTGAAGGGTCCCCGGGTAGGTGCCCTGGGGTCCAACTGTCCCCTGCTGTGTGCTGAGTTCCCAGCAGGGGGCATCGGAGGTCACTGTGCTGATGGTGTCTGTCTGTGGCAGCAGTCACCATCATGAAGTTGGTCCTCATCCCTTCACTTCAGCTCATCTTCTGTGGTTCAATGTGCAACGTTGGCCACACTCCACAGAGAAACTGAACAAAATAAGAATAGCAGGAAAGATTGAATCAAATAATAAACTTTGTGATCAAACAAAAGCTACAATATTGAAGATTCTTTAAAGATATACGAACCTTCACTTTTGGTCTGTACTTGAGGTAGGTTGTCCTGATCTGCATGCTACAAAAAGAAGAACACTTAATCAACTTGGTTAACAACTTTAACTCAGTTTTCTGGATCAAAATACTTCCAATCCATGCTGCTCCTATGAGATAATATCTGTTCACTGTGCTTGTTTACATCTGGGTGGCAGAGCTTTATGGCAGTAGCCATTAATTGAAACTGCAGCCCCAGCTTGGGGCAGGCGGCTGGATTACAGTTTGACGAGCATTTGACGAGCATACAATTCTGAAATTGATCAAAAATATTAATCGTTAGGTTTAACCAACTAGTAATTTTAGTTGGCTAATCGTGCACATCCCTAGTCATTATTAGCAAATACATGTTTGTATTGTTGCCAAAACCTTACTAGTGGCCCACCAAGATCTAATAATGATTGCAGTGAAGAGGCACAAATGAAACCCAATGTAGCTGAATGTCATTTCTAAAGCTTACCTAAGAAGTATGTGCAGGTAGGATCCAACACCTGTGAAGATATGCCACCAGGCGTGTAACTGTGTAACCGCTCCAACGACAGGGGGAAGGTTATTTCTGGCATATCTGAAAGGACAAGAAGAGTTGATGGAACTTGTTTTTTTTTTTAAATAATAAATTGTATATTTCTTAGAAAGAGATTATAAATAAAAATATTCCAGGAAAGGTTCTGAGAAATAATTTATTAATATATTATATATTCTGTAGCATCGCTACGTGGACGTGACCTAATCTGTTGCCCCTCTCAAGTGGGTTCCTTTGGGTTTGCCAAAGATTTTGATTTATTATTTGTATTATTTTTTAAGTTTCGTGGCAGCTCAAGAAATTGTAGGAATGGAAGCCGTTCACAGACCAGGAAAACGTAATATGTCATGAGCAGAACATTCACTACACCGATAAGAGCCTCAAACTATTGGGGTGAATGTATACTGACATAAAAAAGGTCTAGACCCCGAATATAAGACCACCCCACATTTTTCAGCTGAGTCTTAATAAGAAACCTCCCCTTCTATTTGGGTCGATATATAACTCACCTTAATGTGCCACAGTAGAAGTTGTCCATGTTCCACAGGACGAACCCCAACAAGAAGATTCCTAACGAGGCGTAACACAGCGGTCTCAGCCATGGATACACCCTGACATTCAAACAGAAACAACAACAAAAGTTATTTCATTGAAAATTAAGGTACTGTACATTCTTCTTTTTTTAATGTTTGAATTTATCGATCCACTTTGACATGTTCCTTACCATGTAACAATGTAGATAGCTCGTATCACGAGGCAAGCTACTAGGATACCATACATGACCTAGAAGAAGGAGACACAATGACTTATCTGGCTTTAAAACACCACAAGTGGAGCGAATCAAATTCTAACAACTGATTTGTTTTGAGATAAAACATTGACTTTTAAAAATAATTAATTATTGAAGATTTTTATTTTTTGAACAGCCAAATCTGGTTTGATATTTTTTGGGTTTAACATGCTTTAACTGAGAGGACAGGACAGTGGAAAGTGTCAGACATGAGCCAGGACTCAAACCGGGGCCTCCGCTATTAGGGCTATAGCCTCTGTACATTGGGAGCAACATTTTACCATTAAGCTAAACATTTAGCGCCAAAACTGATTCAGTTACTGCCCTAGTTAGTTTTAAGGAATTTGAAACATAACTTTCTTTCTCACTTTTCTTGAATGGGGAGGACAATCAGCCTATGAACCTCCATAGAGCAGCGTAATTACTAAACACAGCCAGCTCCAAAGAGTAAACAAAGGTGCTTTGTCACATTGTCCTTACTGTTGTGAAGCAACACATTCTGAATGTGATACCCTTGTGTGTGTAAGTGGCTCTGGTTATCTTTGGAGGTTTGTGTTGTTACTGTAAATGGCTGTGGTAATAAGATCCTTCTTGGAAACAGCGGTTTGATCCCATTCACAGCGTTCACAGCACAGGATGTGTGTTTTCTCTAAATGCTCCATACTTACTTGAACATGAACGAACAGAAAATGGCCATTCAGCTTTGTATTTTGCATATATCTACCTTTACATCAGATACTACTTTATGTTTAATACCAAGCATGCTTCAACAAGACTGCTTCATGCTGCGTTGATGAAGCCAGTGTTTACACAAGGTTGAAATGACTTGAAGCACACTGAGCCCTTACAGCAAACAATAAGCACTGTGGGCCAGGTGAGCGACACACAGAGCACTCCTTACCTGGTGAAAGATTGGCTCCTTCCACTGCAGGTATAACTGCAAAATAAATACAGGAACTTCTCAAGAGGATATAAAGTTGGATTTGTTTGTTCATAATGTGGTTTAAAGTGTGTGACTGCTATACTATGAACAGATACTCACCGCACTGACAGAGATACTGAAAATTGACAACAATGCAATAGGAAATAGGCCAATTTTGTTCTCTTGTTTGAAGCACTCAAATCTGAAAAATGAAAGAAGTTTATATCAATACAAGGTTACATCTGAACACAGGTTTTCTGACTTCTCTAACTTCTCCTGAAGGTTCATGAAAATGTAGTTTAGTTTGAATCATACACTGTTAAAAGAAGTGGAAGTGGCTGCTTTGTTTTGAATGTGAAGCAAAAGCAAAAGACATAAAACATTGATTATCTCTAACGGCCAGCAGGGGGGGAATTACTTGTTCCAAAAATATCCAAAAAATCTTTAAGAAACTGGTGGAGTAATACAACTGATTTACATCCCCAGCAAACATTTCTTATTGGGTTAATGGTCTCTATCCCCAGTTTAGAGTCATCTTCAACACAGCATATTGTTAATTGTTTTTAAATGAGGGTCCCATTTACAGTCAAATTGATGATAAAGCATGGCTACCTTTGATTTACAAGTCACTAAAATGGCAAACTGGCAATCAAGATAGAGAAGTCACAATGGACGAAAGACCTGTACTCCAAATATGGTCAATTATGGATTCAAAAAACGTCTAGGTCAATGGCCAAAATGCCAGACTACAGCTTCAAAACCAAAGTCCAGAAACCTGCTGTCAATGTGGCTACGTCAACTTCTTATACTGCATACAGTCTATGTTATCTTCACCATCACCACAATCAGAGCAGCTACCTATGTGCTGCTTTCAATCTATGTAGAAAAACCATGCCATATATGTAAGATATCATCAGGGTTTGGTGGGCCCTGCCTGTAAATGGGCAGGGCCCACCCAGTAAGCTTCCCATGTTGCAAGGCTCAGACAAAAAGGACTTAACTCAGAGAATTGTCCACTCAAAATGGGCCTGTGAGATAATGAAGCAGCCCTTCATCATTTTTTGAAGAGGGTAGGATGGTGAAGCTCAACAGATAATTGCAGTCGGACTTGGACAAGCTCTAAGATGAGAATGCAAAGCTTCCTGCCTGCATCAATATGTACAAGAGGCAGCAGTCCAGATTGTTTTAGCAATGACTAACAACAACAACAACAACAACAACAACAACAACAACAACAACAACAACAACAACAACAACAAGCCACAATTCAGACAAGTAACATTCTGATCAGCTATTTCAGACTGCTCCCAATCTGTGGATAGACAACTATCAATGTTATAGAGTTACTCTATAAGGCCAATCACAGATGCCTCTATTGTCTCCACCATTTCCCTCAAATTTGAGGGAGACTTGGCAACCTCCAATGTTCTTGAGGAACTGAAGGATGCAATGGGCTGTGCTGAGGAGAGGATCCACCGGTCCAAACTTTCACCATGATTGGAACAATTCCAAATGATTAGACTTTTCTATCCTAGTTGATTGAGCCTGGACTCCCTGTAGAGTACTAACTACAGACTGGGGTAACAACATGCCAAATATCCAAATAACTTGGTCCTCTTAGGGGTCAGGCCCAAAGAGTCCTTTGTTCTTGGGACATGGAGAATGCATTTTGTGTGTGACAGACAGAATTGAAATTCTTCTGTGAGCAGAGTCTGAAGTTTGGGAGACAACACTGGCTGCTTGTCCTGATAAGCCAGGTTACTAGCTCTTAAATCTCCAGGATACTGGCCCTAAATTGGAACTGGGAAAGCTAGGGAACAGGCAGTTCTTTTAAGAGTTAGGGAAAGTGTTGCTGTTCTGCTGTCCAACCTCATGGCCAGGAACTCTTCGGACTGTAAGGTTAGAGACTGCTCCTTGTGATTAAAGTGTAAAGGTTGGTGTTTTAAAGTTATGTGGGTCTTATTGCTACAATACCCATCTGAAGAAGAACCTAAAAGCCAGTCTCTTGAGGACAAGAAAATCTTCCCAACATCATTGACACTTGACTGTGTTCATGAACATTTTTGTACTTGCTGAAGTTTAACATATTGCCTAACATATTCATTCATACTGAATTAATCATATACATATACAGAATCATGGTTTCCCATCCTGCTTTGGGATGAAGAAAGCAGCTTGTTGATCTTTCTGCCTCATGTTCTGGATTTACCTTACTGCAAAGAAAGTCAAGACTATACAGCTTTCCAGAGAGGGGCAAGATAACTTACTTTCTACCTGGTACGTTTACAATGCTGATGTCAACCAGCGTTGCCATAATCATGTTCATCACATTGCCACAATCGCTTTAACTACTTTCTCATAGAGCATTTTGACAGAAGTAAATACAATAGGTTCAACCACTTACAGACAGTAGAGGAAGACACATGTGCTGTAAATCATCGGCAACTCGTCCATTAACTGCAAATAAAAACAAATAAAAAACATGATATAATACATCATATATTTTTAACAAGAAAGTATTTTGCACACAATTTTGCTGATGTATTTATGGTGCAGAGAAACACTTCAGCCCACCTGCATCTTAAACTGCAGCGTCATGTGGAAGCACCAGGAACCGACACCAACAACTGGGTGACACAAAGACAATCCAATGAAAATATTGAAACTGAAAGTCAGGGCGATCATAAGCAGGCTGATTATTATCAACATGAGATTCTTAACTACTGTAAAACATGTAAACAAGAGTGGTGTAGTACGCTCCAGTACGTCAGTGATGGACAGCAAACTAAGATATATTTCAAACAGACTAACCTGCCAGTCCAACAAAAGAGCAGATGTAGCGAAACTCAAGGCCGTCGCGAAACGCCTGGATGGCTCCGTAAATGGGAGGAAGAATCATAATCAGGTTGCTGATGGTGTTCCCTGTTTAGAAAAGCAAAAGAGAAGCCAGATGAAACGGCCTGGGTTTTATGAACGCCTCTGAATGCCTCTGTGATTGGATGACATGAGAAAAGTGGCACTTCAGACACACAGATCTGTGAACATTATAACCATTATAAACCACTGAGCTGTATCTTATTATGGTAACATGATCACTGCACCGGGCGCTCATACACACTTCTGCTGCGACCATTGCTCCCACTGTATATTGATTTTCTATTATTTACCTTGAATAGAATTGAGAGCACTTGCCGGTAAATACTTGAATTATTGTGCACATTTGCCTAATCTGTCATAATGTAAAAATGCTGATATAATAGTATTTGGGATTACAGATACAGGTAATGGATTCACGAGTGGGTGTTAACGATGGACCCCATGTTTCTCTTGTTATGGAGTTGCTACATTAATGATCTATTGAACAATTAATCTTTTAATTTCTTACCAAAAATGCCACCAACGTGAAGTCACTTTGGGCTCTAGGATATTGTGAACGGTATTTTGACACTGTGCTCCGCAATGAGCAGAAAGGTTTAAAAATGTTCAAATATGTTGTCAAATTGTTCCAATAAAGACACAAATAACCAGAATGCCCCTGAAACAACATTGAATAAAGAACCCAGTAACACCCGTATTCAACCTTCTGATAAGCGTGTTTTAAATGGTATATGGACTTGAACTTTTAAGTTATTTTCTAGTCTTCTGAGCACTCAAAGCTCTTTTTACACCGCAGGTCACACCTACACATTCACACACTGATGATAGTGATCGCTATGTAAAGTGATTATCAGAAGTAACTTATCACATTCATACACCGCTGACAAGGCAGCAGGAGCAACTTGGGGTTAAGTGTCTTGAACTAGGACACATTGGACATGTGGCTGCAGGAGCTGGGGATCAAACCCCTCACCTTCTGGTTGAGAGAAGACCGACTCTCCCAACTGAGCCACAGCTGCCATGAATAAAAGCTTCCTTTCTGCTCGGCTATGGGTTTTTCCCAGTAATTTTCGACTGTCGTACAAAAACTAAAACAACGTCTAGTTTATTTCAGTGCCTGTACTTATGTGAACATGTTTTACAAAAGAGTTTATCTGAGCCAGTACAACACTGACAACAATCACATCACTTTTGTACAAAGGGCTGGTAGGATGCAGTTGTTACTTAAGACTATTTAAAAAGCAGATTCACATATAGAGATAGACCAATGAATAAACAAGTAAAGAAATGGGTTTGTTTGAAAGCAAAACAGCAACAAAAGCCGGATGTTATTCGGGGGAATTCAACCAGTAACTTTGCCTAAAGCCAAATGTTTCTCAGAGCCTTATCTGTGAAAGTGGTCTGCAGTTAAACTGATGTCACTTCTTGTGTACAGAACTCCCTCCCTGAGGCCATTCCTGCATATTTACTGTACTATTAACACACATCATCAGAGCCGCAGTGAACCTGATAAAAAAGAGCCTTACACTAATCATGAATATGCTTTTTCTGGGTGTGGTTTTGTACAAACTCTGTCGTGGAAAACAACCAAGCTTACCAGGATATTAATTAGTTTTGAAAAGGCGTGCTGCTGACATGTTGGCCTATTTTCACATGACTCCCTCCTTTTATCTGCTGGTGTCTGATAAGGTCAAGGTGTTCCTGTGGGACACTCGGGTTCATAATGTCAAAATGTTTGGACTTTGCTTACTGATAATGAATGCACTCAAGCCAAACGATAACAGCAATTAATAAGTGTTTTGTTTTCCGAATTTTAATGAAATCTGCAAACTCAATGTGACGAGATGCACCCACGGCCTCCCTCTGTGTCTGCCTTCTACCGTCACCGTGTGCTGAGCCTTTAAAAACAGAGTTAATGCACCAAGAGGATGCATCCAATGAAGGTTTAAAACACACGTCTGCCCCTCTTTCTTTTTAACATGAACAATGCTGCATTCCAACCATTGTAACCTGCAGCACCATTCAAATGTCCAACGATTCTAGTGCGGCTAAAAACAATCACCAAGCGAAGCCAGCATGTGTCATTTATGCAAACAAAAGCTTTAACTGTCAGTATCCTGGATGTGCTGGAGTCTAGCCAGTACTAATGTTAGAAACGTTTCACTGAAATAAATGATTACATTATGCAGAGTACAGCAGGCCTACAACATGTACCTAACTAATGGTTTACTATGTGACCTTTAGGACTGAATAATAAAAGAGTATATCTCAATAGAGGCTTCCTAGAATTGACAAAAGAAAGAAGAATAAAAATTAGTAATCTAACTAATCTTTGACCCACTTCCTGTGAGTTTACCTTAAACTTTCTGTTGCATCATCACAGTTCCCTGAGCAACACACACAATGTGGTGACAACAACAAATGGTCTCAGATTAAGTAGTTTAAGTTGTACTTTACAGAGTTCTTCCATTTAACAATTGATCTACAATGCAGGAGGAAGACGGTGAGATGAAACGTTTCTGTGTCATGCAGTGATAAGATAAAATAGGCCTACTGTTATTGAAATGATTCAGCTTTTTATATTTCAGTCAGCTGCACTCAGATTTTTAAAATATTTCTAAATAAAAAGGGAACGTGTGTTCATCTAACAGCTTGTATTATTGTTATTATTAATTATATTATTAAAACTATATTTCATTTGTGTACATGTTTCTTGTGTAAATATACATGTTAAGTATATGCTTAGTTTGTGTGTGTGTGTGTGTGTGTGTGTGTGTGTGTGTGTGTGTGAGAGAGAGTGTGTGTCACATACTTTCATATATGGCCAGCTACTACATTAACAGGCAAAATCCCTGTGGGAAAAAACTGACAACATTGAGAAACTTGGCCATTGTTATTTGGGGTCAAGAGGTCAGCTGGGGACTCAGGTGCCTGCTAGGACAGGTGCTCAGGTAACCTGTTCACATCAGGTGTGAATATCATGCTGGTTATCCTGTGGGGGTTGGGTTTTTTTTTGTCTTTAGTTTTGCACTTTTTAATCCAATTACTAGAGGTACTAGAGGTCACTACAACTTTCAAGCCTTACTTGTGTGTAATAAAATGTTTATATAAAACACAGTTTGTATAATTCTTACTTTATTTACTGTTTAGGCAGAATGTCTTATAAGAACAGCACATTTAAGTCAGTAAAAGCTTCATGCCAGTGGACATAAGGTCTTGCTGACATGGCAGCTTTCTGAACAGTTTGACACAAACGACGTCTGAATGAAGATAAAGGTTCCTGAGGAACCAGTTTTTATTATCGTTAGACAAAGCAATGATAGTGTCGAGGTCGAGGAAACATTTGATCAAGTTTCAAGTCGAGGCTGTGACCGTCAGTGCTTCAAATGAAGGGAAACGTTCGTGTTTTTAACCTTTTTAAATGTGTCCAGTCCATGACATTGTTTGCAACCCTCTTCATATTGCTGACGATAATGTACAGTAAAGCTAACCTCTATGCAAAACAGCTCGACTTAAACATCTCAGCGACGAGCAGGTGTTCCTTTTCCTCATTACAGCTCTTGTTTCTGGTTAAGCTAACATTACATCAGTCCTCTGTTATCATAACAAATACACTACTGTCGCTACAGCTGCAGCTCCGGCTTCATGTTTACGTTATTCAGGGGGCGACTGTACGTTACACTGACCGGCAGTCCGTCCACTAAACCCCCCCCACACACTCACATTTTCTGGGGCACACACTGTGCATGCTGTGTTGTACTTACAAAACTCGGCGATGTAAAAAGAGACGACATAATTTTCTTCGCACCAGTCTATGGTTGAGGTCGACCTCCCCCAGTATCCTTGTGCTGCGGGAGCCATGATGGAAGAGGAGGAGGAGGCTGTGGGTACTAACGGATTTGTAGTCC